AAAAAATCCTCAAAAAATCCCTTTAAAATCCCCAAAAAACTCCTAAAAAATCTCTCAAAAACCCCTAAAATACCCCTAAAAAATCCCCAAAAAACCCCTAAAAAAATCCCCGAAAAAACCCTAAAAAATCCTTAAAAAAATCCCCCAAAAACCCCTAAAAATTCCCCAAAAATCCCCCCGGACACCCCGAATCACTGACCGAGGCCGCAATCCCCTTTCCGGGCAGGTGGTGGCGCTGTCGCTGCTGCTGGCCTCGGGCCGCGTGCTGCGCTGCTCGGCCACCGGCGCCGGCGGTGACAACGGTGACAACGGTGACAATGGTGACAATGGTGACAACGGTGACAATGATGATGGTGATGGTGACAATGATGGTGACAATGATGATGATGATGGTGACGATGATGATGATGGTGACGATGATGATGATGGTGCCGCGGCGTCGCTGCTGTTCGGGGCGGCGCGGCTGCACCTGGGCGCGCTGGGCGTGGTGCTGAGCGTCACCTTCCAGTGCGTGCCCGCCTTCCGACTGCGGGAGATCGCCTTCCCCTCCACCCTCACACAGGTACCCACGGATCCGCAATTCCCGGGATTCTGGGAAAAACACGGAATTTAGGTGGGGATTTACATGGGAATCGCCACAGGAATGCAGGGAAAATTCCTGGAATTCTCTCGGGAATGGGGGAGAATTCCCAAGCTTCCGCCTCAGGGAGATCGCCTTCCCCTCCACCCTCACCCAGGTACCCGGATTGATCGGGAATTCCCGGAATTTCTGCCGGAATTCTGGGGGAAAACGCAGAATTTAGGTGGGGATTTACATGGGAATCGCCTGAGGATTGCAGGGAAAATTCCTGGAATTCTCTCAGGAATGGGGGAGAATTCCCGGGATTCTGCCTCCAGGGTGTGGCCTTCCCCTCCACCCTCACCCAGGTACCCACGGATCGGGAATTCCCGGGATTCTGGGGGGAAAACACGGAATTTAGGTGGGGATTTACACGGGAATCGCCACAGGAATGCAGGGAAAATTCCTACAGGGAAAATTCCTGGAATTCTCTCAGGAATTGGGGAGAATTCCCGGGATTCCGCCTCAGGGAGATCACCTTCCCCTCCACGCTCACCCAGGTACCCGGATTGATCGGGAATTCCCGGAATTTCTGCCAGAATTCTGGGGGAAAACACGGAATTTAGGTGGGGATTTTGGCAGGAATTTAGGCGGGAATTTACGCGAAAATGGGGGGAAAATTGAGGGAATTTTCTGCAATTTTACTGGGAATTTCATCAGGAATTTCCTCAGGAATTTCCTCAAGAATCAGGAAAAATCTCTCAGAGTTTCCTCAGGAATGCCAGGGAAATTCCTGGCATTTTCCGGAATTTTCCTGGGAATTTCGTCAGGAATATTACCAGGAATCTCCTCAGGAATGCCGGGAAAATTCCTGGAATTCTCTGGAATTTTCTCAGGAATTTTCTCAGGAATTTCCTCAAGAATCAGGAAAAACTTTCAGAGTTTCCTGAGGAACGCCAGAAAAAATCCTGGAATTTTCTCAGGAATTTTTTCAGGAATTTTCTCAGGAATTTCCTCAGGAATTTCCTCAAGAGTCAGGAAAAGCTTTCAGAATTTCCTCAGGAATGCCGGGAAAATTCCTGGAATTTTCCTGGGAATTTTGTCAGGAATTTCCTCAGGAATTCCCTCAAGAATCAGGAAAAAACTCCCGGAATTTCCTCAGGAATGCCGGAAAAATCCCTGGAATTTTTCCCAGTAATTTTCTCAGAAATTTCCTCCGGAATCAGGAAAAAACTCTGGGAATTTCCTTGGGAATAAGGAAAAGTTTCCCGGAATTTTCTCAGGAATTTTCTCGGGAATTTCCTCAGGAATCAGGGAAAAACTCTGGGAATTTTCTCAGGAATGTGGGGAAAATTCCTGGAATTCCTGCTGGGAATTTTTCCTGGGAATAATTTCCTGGGAATATTTTCTGGGAATCATTTCTTGGGAATTTTTTTGTGGGAATAATTTCTATTTTAATATTTTTGGGAATATTTCCTGGGAATATTTCTTAGGGATATTTTTGAGGAATATTTTCTGGGAATAATTTTCTGCCAATTTTTTCTGGGAATTTTTTTGGTGATTTTTTTTCTGGGAATAATTTCCCTGGAATGTTTATTATGGAATAATTCCTATTTTCACTTTTTTGGGAATATTTTCTGGGAATAATTCCTGGGAATAATTTCCTGGGAATATTTCCTGGGAATAATTTTTTTGGGGAATAATTTCCTGAGAATTTTTTCTAGGATTTTTCCTGGGAATATTTCCAGGGAATAATTCCTATTTTAACTTTTTTTGGGAATATCTTCTGGGAATAATTTCCTAGGAATTTTTCCCGGGAATATTTCCAGGGAATAATTCCTATTTTAACTTTTTTTGGGGAATATCTTCTGGGAATAATTTCCTGGGAATTTTTTCCGGGAATATTTCCAGGGAATATTTCTTAGGGATATTTTTGAGGAATATTTTCTGGGAATAATTTCCCGGGAATTTTTTTCTGGGAATTTTTTCCTGGGAATTTTTTTGGGGGATTTTTTCCAGGTGCTGGATCAGCTGGAGGAGCACCTGCAGAATTCCGAATTTTTCCGCTTCCTGTGGTTCCCGCACACCGAGAACGTCCGGATCATCTACCAGGACCCCACCACCCAGGCACGGATCCCAACATTCCCGGAATTCCCGAAATTCCCAGTTCCCGGAATCCCAAAAATCCCAGGATTCTCCGAGATCCCAAAATTCCAGGGTTGGGAATTCCGGGATTTTGGGAATGGGCTCCGGGAATTCCGGGAATTTTCAATATCCAAAGCAGGGATCCCAACATTCCCAGAATTCCCAACATTCCCGGAATTCCCAACATTCTCAGAATTCCCAACATTCCCAGTTCCCGGAATCCCAAAACTTCCAGGATTTTCCGAGATCCCAAAATTCCAGGGCTGGGAATTCCGGGAGTTTGGGAATGGGCTCCGGGAATTCCGGGAATTTTTTGAGTTCTTGGAATTCCAGGGAGGGATTTTGGGGTGGGAGGAAGAATTTTGGGGAGGGATCCCGAAAATTCCCAGAATTTCCAATTTCCCGGAATTCCAGGGAGGGATTTTGGATTGGGAATTTCGGGATTTTGGGAATGGGCTCCGGGAATTCCTGAAATTCTTTAAAATCTCATAAAATTCCCTAAAATCCCTGGGAAAAATCCTAAAATTCCCTGAAATCCAGAAAAATCCCTAAAATTCCCTAAAATCTCTAAAGTTCCTGAAATCTCTCTGAATTCCCTAAATTCCCAGAAATGCCTCAAATCCCGAAAAAATCACTGAAATCCACGAAATTCCATGAAATCACTAAAATCCTTGAAATCCCGGAATTCCCTAAAAAAAATCCCGGAATTCCCTAAAATAGCCGGAATCCTTAAAATTCCATAAAATTCCCTAAAATTCCCTAAAATCCCTAGGAAAAAAAATCCCTAAAATTCCCTGAGATCCCGAAAAAAAAATTCCCTAAAATTCCCCAAATCCCTGAAATCCCCCCAAAAAATTCCTGAAATCCCTGAAAAAATTCCCTGAAATTCCAAAAAAAAAAATTCCCTAAAATCCCTGAAATTCCCTAAAATCCATAAGAAAAAAAATCACTAAAATCCCTAAAATTCCATTAAATCCCTGGGAAAATCCCTGAAAAAAAATCCCTGAAATGCAAAAATAATTCCCTGAAATTCCAAAAAAATCATCCCTGAAATTCCCTAAAATAAAAAAAAAAATCCCTAAATTCCCTTTAAAAAAATCCCAAAAATTCACTAAAATCCCTGAAAAAATCTGTGAAATGCTAAAAAAAATCCCTGAAATTCCAAAAAAAAATCCCTGGAAAAAAAAAATCATCCCTGAAATTCCCTAAAATATTCCCTAAATTCCATTTTTAAAATCCCAAAAATTCCCTAAAATCCCGAAAATTCCCTAAAATCCCTGAAAAAAATCCCTGAAATGCTAAAAAAAAATCCCTAAAATTAAAAAAAAAAAAATTCCTGAAATTCTCTAAAATCCCTAAAAAAAATTCCCTAAATTCCCTTTTAAAAAATCCCCAAAATTCCCTAAATTCCCGGAAATGCGGGAAAACATTCCCGGAATTCCCGGATTTCCAGGCTCCGTGCTCCTCGTCCAGCTGGTTCTGGGATTACGCTGTGGGATATCACCTCCTGCAGTTCCTGCTCTGGATCAGGTGGGATTCGGGATTTGGGATTTGGGATTCGGGATTTTTGGGATTTGGGATTTGGGATTTGGGGTTTGGGATTTTTGGGATTTGGGGTTTGGGATTTGGGATTTGGGATTTGGGATTTGGGATTTGGGGTTTGGGGTTTGGGATTTGGGATTTGGGATTTGGGATTCGGGATTTGGGGTTTTTGGGATTTGGGATTTGGGATTTGGGATTCGGGATTTGGGGTTTGGGATTTGGGATTTTTGGGATTTGGGATTTGGGATTTTTGGGATTACAATTGGTTTTGGATTGGGATTGGGATTGGGATCAGGACCTGGATCTGGATCAGGATCAGATTCGGAATTTGGATCAGGATCGGGATCAGGGTCAGTGTCAGGATTGAGATGGGATCGGGATCGGGATCGGGATCGGGATCGGGATCGGGATCGGGATTAGGATGGGATCGGGATCGGGATCGGGACTGGGGCCGGGATTGGGATTGGAATCAGGATCAGGATCAGAATTGGGATTGGGATTTGGGATTGGAACGGGATTTGGGATTGGAACGGGATGGGGATGGGGATGGGATCAGGATCAGGATGAGGACTGGGATAGAATCAGGACTGGGATGGGGATTGGGATTGGGTCAGGTTTGGGATCGGGATTGAGATCGGGATTGAGATTGGGATTGGGATCAGGATTGGGAACTGGATTGGAATTGGGATCAGGATCAGGACAGGGATCAGAATCGGGATTTAGATCAGGATCAGGATTGGGATCAGGATTGGAATTGGGATCAGGATCAGGATCGGGATCGGGATTCAGATCCAGATTGGGATTAGGATGGGACTGGGACCTGGATCTGGATCTGGATCTGGATCTGGATCCGGATCTGGATAGGGACTGGGATCGGAATTGGGATTGGGGTCAGGATTAGGATGGGATTCGGATTGGGATGGGGATTGGGATCAGGATTGGGATGGAATGGAGATCAGCATCGGGGCTGGGATCAGGATCAGGATTGGGATCCGGATCGGGATCAGGATTGGGACTGGGATTGGGATCGGGATCAGGATTGGGATCAGGATCAGGATCAGGATCGGGATCAGGATTGGGACTGGGATTGGGATCAGGATTGGGATTTGGGATTGGGATCAGGATGGATATCAGGATTCAAATTGGGATCTGGATTGGGATCGGGATCAGGATTGGGTTGGGATCAAGATTGGGATGGATTGGGATGGGGATTGGGATTGGGATCAGGATTGTGATGGGATCAGGACTGGGATGGATTGGGATTGGGATCAGGATTAAAATGGGATTGGGATCAGGATTGGGATGGGATTGGGATCGGGATTGGGATGGGATCAGGATTGGGATGGATTGGAATTGGGATCGGAATCGGGATCGGGATCGGAATAATCGCGGAACGTGCCGGGATTCCCTTCCCATGAAAACCCCTCGCCAACATTCCCAGAATTCCCGGATCCTTTCCCGGCCGTCGCCGCTCCCTTCCCCCACCTCGCGGGGATTTTCCAGGATGGAAATTCCGTCTGAATTCCCGATTTTTCCCGGCAGCACCTTCTTTCCCAGGATGGTGGTTTGGATCAACCGGATTTTCTTCCGGCTCCTCTTCAGCTCCCGCACGGAGAACGTCGACCAGAGCCACCGGATCTTCAACTACGAGTGCCGCTTCCGGCAGCACGTCCAGGACTGGGCCATCCCCATGTAATTCCCGAATTTCCCATCCATTCCCATGGAATTCCCGAATTTCCAATCCATTCCCGTGGGAATTCCCAGATCCCGGTCCAGGACTGGGCCATCCCCATGGAATTCCCGAATTTTGGATCCATACCCATGTAATTCCCGAATTTCCGATCCATTCCCATAGGAATTCCCAGATCCCGGTCCAGGACTGGGCCATCCCCATGTAATTCCCGAATTTCCGATCCATTCCCATGGGAATTCCCGAATTTCCGATCCATTCCCACAGGAATTCCCAAATTTCCAATCCATTCCCATAGGAATTCCTAGATCCCAGTCCAGGACTGGGCCATCCCCATGGAATTCCCAAATTTCCCATCCATTCCCGTGGGAATTCCCAGATCCCAGTCCAGGACTGGGCCATCCCCATGGAATTCCCGAATTTTGGATCCATTCCCACGGGAATTCCCAAATTTCCAATCCATTCCCATGGGAATTCCCAGATCGCGGTCCAGGGTTGGGCCACCCCCATGTAATTCCCGAATTTCCCATCCATTCCCATGGAATTCCCAAATTTCCAATCCATTCCCACGGGAATTCCCAGATCCCGGTCCAGGATCCATTCCCATGGGAATTCCCAGATCCCAGTCCAGGACTGGGCCATCCCCACGGAATTCCCGAATTTTGGATCCATTCCCACGGGAATTCCCAAATTTCCAATCCATTCCCGTAGGAATTCCCAGATCCCGGTCCAGGACTGGGCCATCCCCATGGAATTCCCGAATTCCGTGGGCATGGAGATCCCTGCAGATCCCAATCCCATTCCAAATCCCGGATCCATCTGATCCCACAGGAGGAACATTCCAGAACATTCCCAGGAATTCCCTGGGCCTGCAGATCCCAACCCCAGGATCCCAACCCCTGGGCAGAACATTCCAGAAAATTCCTGGGAATTCCCTGGACATGGAGATTCCTGCAGATCCCAAATCCTGGGATCCCAAAACCCTGAGCAGAACATTCCAGAAAATTCCTGAGAATTCCCTGGACATGGAGATCCCAATTCCAGGATCCCAACCCCACGGGAAGAACATTCCAGGACATTCCCAGGAATTCCCTGGACATGGAGATCCCAACCCCGGGATCCCAACCCCTGGGCAGAACATTCCAGAACATTCCCAGGAATTCCCTGGGCATGGAGATCCCAACCCTGGGATCCCAACCCCACGGGGAGATCATTCCAGAACATTCCTGGGAATTCCCTGGACATGGAGATCCCAACCCCGTGATCCCAAGCCCTGGGCAGAACATTCCAGAACATTCCAGGGAATTCCCTGGGAGGAGATCCCTGCAGATCTCAATCCCGGGATCCCAAACCCCACGGGAAGATCATTCCCGGACATTCCCGGGAATTCCATGGGAGGAGATCCCAATCCCCAGATCCCAAACCCCACGGGAAGATCATTCCCGGACATTCCCGGGAATTCCATGGGAGGAGATCCCTGCGGATCCCAATCCCGGGATCCCAAACCCCTGGACAGAACATTCCAGAACATTCCCGGGAATTCCATGGGAGGAGATCCCTGCAGATCCCAATCCCGGGATCCCAAACCCCACGGGAAGATCATTCCCGGACATTCCCGGGAATTCCGTGCCGCTGAGCGGGGTTTTTCCGGGCGCAGCGGGAAGACGCGGGAGGCGCTGCTGGAGCTGAAGGCGGAGCTGGATCGGAATCCCGGGATCGGCGCGCACTTCCCGGTGGAGATCCGCTTTTCCCGGCGGGACGAGATCCCGCTGAGCCCGTGCTTCCGGCGGGACAGCTGCTACATCAACGTGCTCATGTACCGGTGAGAGCCCGGCCCGGATCCATGGGAATGTTCCTGACCGGAATATCGGCATGGGATCCCTGCAGATCCCGGATCCATGGGAATGTTCCCACCAGGAATATTGACATGGGATCCCGGATCCATGGGAACCTTCCCGACCGGAATATTGGCATGGGATCCCGGATCCATGGGAACGATCCCACAGGGAATATTGACATGGGATCCCGGATCCATGGGAACGATCCCGACCGGAATATTGACATGGGAATCCCGGATCCATGGGAACATTCCCGCTGGGAATATTGACATGGGATCCCGGATCCATGGGAACGATCCCGACCGGAATATTGGCATGGGATCCCGGATCCATGGGAACGATCCCGACCGGAATATTGGCATGGGAATGCCGGATCCATGGGAATGTTCCCGTCCGGAATATTGCCATGGGAATGCCGGATCCATGGACACTGTTCCCGTCCGGAATATTGGCATGGGGATCCCTGCAGATCCTGGATCCATGGGAACATTCCTGACCGGAATATTGACATGGGAATCTCAGATTCATGGGAACCTTCCCACCCGGAATATTGGCATGGGAATCTCGGATTCATGGGAACCTTCCCACCCGGAATATTGGCATGGGAATCTCGGATTCATGGGAACATTCCCACTGGGAATATTGCCATGGGAATGCCGGATCCATGGGAGCATTCCTGCCGGGAATATTAACATGGGAATGCCAGATCCATGGGAACATTCCCGCCTGGAATATTGCCATTGGAATGCCGGATCCATGGGAACCTTCCCACAGGGAATATTGACATGGGAATCCCTGCAGATCCTGGATCCATGGGAACATTCCCGCCTGGAATATTGCCATGGGAATGCCGGATCCATGGGAACCTTCCCACAGGGAATATTGACATGGGAATCCCTGCAGATCCCGGATCCATGGGAACATTCCTGACCAGAATATTGACATGGGAATCCCGGATCCATGGGAACATTCCCACAGGGAATATTGACACGGGATCCCGGATCCATGGGAAAACGTTAGTATGAGGATTGGAAGGAGGGTGGAGGATGTTGATTGTATTTGGATCGGTCACATGGCTAGGGCTATATATATGGATAATATTATGCATTCTAAACCGAGGAGGGCGGAGATTAGGTGGGTGCGGTGGAAGGCTATACCTAGGCTGCTTAAGGTGAAGGCTGAGTAGAAACTTAGGTGGAGGTAGGACATGAAGAAAGTTATAGGTTTAAGCTATAATCTGTTGAGTCGAAATCAACTGTCTTGGTTAGCCTAACTTTCTGTTATTCCGCTCATTCTAGTCCTCCTTGGGTTCATTCGTATACGAGCCCTAGTGTTAGTAAGAGGATTAGTGTGGAGGCTCATATTAGGGTGGTGGTGGGGGATTGAAGTTGGATTGCTCATGGTAGGGGGAGTAGTAGGGCGATTTCTAGGTCGAATAGTAGGAATAGGATGGCTACTAGGAAGAAGCGGATTGAGAATGGTAAGCGGGCGGATCCTAGGGGGTCGAATCCGCATTCGTATGGGGATAGTTTTTCTGAGTCTGGGTTAATTTGGGCTAATCAGAAGTTTAGGGTGGTTAGGATAATGCTTAGGGATGTGGATAGGATGAATACGAATATGATTATGTTTATTACTCTTCTCTGGGTTTAAACCAGATTTTAAGGATTGGAAGTCGATTGTAATTAATATACTAGAAGAGTAAGATCCTCATCAGTAGATAGAGATATATAGGAATAATCAGACGACGTCTACGAAGTGTCAGTACCATGCTGCTGCTTCGAAGCCAAAATGATGGTTTGGTGTGAAATGGTATTTGATTAGGCGCGCTAGGCATACGAGGAGGAATGTGGATCCGATGATTACGTGAAGGCCGTGGAATCCGGTAGCTACAAAGAAGGTTGAGCCGTATACTCCGTCGGCGATGGAGAAGGGGGCTTCGTAGTATTCTATGGCTTGGAGGGCGGTGAAATAGAATCCTAGGAGGACTGTTAGGGTTAGGGCGTGGATTGCTTGTTTTTTCGGTTGGCTTCTGTGATGCTATGATGGGCTCATGTTACGGTGACTCCTGAGGCTAGAAGAATAGCGGTGTTTAGGAGTGGTACGTCTATGGGGTTTAATGGTTTGATTCCTACGGGTGGTCATTGTCCTCCTAGTTCTGGGGTGGGGGCTAAGCTTGAGTGGAAGAAGGCTCAGAAGAATCCTAGGAAAAAGAAGGCTTCTGATGTGATGAAGAGGGCTATCCCATATCGTAGGCCTTTTTGGACAGTAGGGGTGTGGTGGCCTTGGAATGTGCTTTCTCGTACGATATCTCGTCATCATTGGAATATGACTAGTATGGTGGAGAGTAGACCTATAATTAGAAGCTGAGGTGAGTTATAGTGGAATCATATTGTTAGTCCTGAAGTGGTTAGTAGAGCGGCGGCTGCTCCTAGGATAGGTCATGGGCTGGGGTCGACTATGTGATAGGAATGTGCTTGGTGGGCCATTGGGTTTAGATATTTTCTTGAAGGTAGAGGCTTAGTAGAAGTACAAAGACGTAGGCTTGGATTATTGCTACTGCTACTTCTAGGATTGTTAGTAGGAATAGTACTAGCAGGGTTAGTAGGGAGACTGCTGGTATTGTTGTAGATAGGGTTATTGTGGCTGTTGAGATGAGTTGAATCAGTAGGTGCCCTGCTGTTAGGTTTGCTGTTAGTCGTACTCCTAGAGCTAGTGGTCGGATGAGTAGGCTTGTTGTTTCGATTAGGATGAGGGCTGGGATTAGTGGTGTTGGGGTCCCTTCTGGCAGTAGGTGTCCTAGGGAAGCAGAGGGTTGACTTCGTAGCCCTGTCAGGAGCGTGGCAAGTCATAGGGGAAAGGCTAGTGCGAGGTTTATTGATAGCTGGGTGGTTGGGGTGAATGTATATGGTAGTAGCCCAAGTAGGTTAATGAGGAGTAGGAAGATTATTAGGGATGTTAGGATTAGAGCTCATTTATGTCCTTTTTTATTTAGCGGGGTTATTAGTTGTTTTGTAATTAGGTTGATGAACCATAGTTGGAGGGTTGATAGTCGGTTGGTGATTCATCGGTTGTCTATGGAGGGTAGGAGTAGAGCTGGGAATGTTATTGAGATGAGGATTAGTGGGATTCCCAGGAGGGATGGGTTGGGAATTGGTCGAAGAAGCTTAGGTTCATGGTCAGGTTCATGGTCAGGTACTTGGTGCAGTATGGGTTTTGCTAGATGGGGGGTTAGGTGATACGAATGTTAGGACTTTGGGTTGGATAATCATGGAAAAGGTTAATCATGAAATAATCATGATAAAAAGCCAGGGGTTTGGGTTTAGTTGAGGCATACCATCAAGGAGGGATGTAGCCCTCTTTCTTTAGCTTAAAAGGCTAATGCGTTCAGATCCATGGGAACGTTCCCGCCGGGAATATTGACATGGGATCCCGGATCCATGGGAACGTTCCCGCCGGGAATATTGACATGGGATCCCGGATCCATGGGAACCTTCCCACCCGGAATATTGGCATGGGATCCCGGATCCATGGGAACGATCCCGACCGGAATATTGACATGGGATCCCGGATCCATGGGAACGATCCCAACCGGAATATTGACATGGGATCCCGGATCCATGGGAACGATCCCGACTGGAATATTGGCATGGGATCCCGGATCCATGGGAACGATCCCAACCGGAATATTGACATGGGAATCCCGGATCCATGGGAACGTTCCCGCCCGGAATATTGACATGGGGATCCCTGCAGATCCCGGATCCATGGGAACGTTCCCGACCGGAATATTGGCATGGGAATGCCGGATCCATGGGAATGTTCCCAACCGGAATATTGGCATGGGGATCCCGGATCCATGGGAACACCGTTCCTGCCGGGAATATTGCCATGGGACTCTCGGATCCATGGGAACGATCCCGCCGGGAATATTGCCATGGGAATCTCGGATTCATGGGAACGTTCCCACAGGGAATATTGCCATAGGGATCCCTGCAGATCCCGGATCCATGGGAACATTCCCGCCTGGAATATTGCCATGGGAATCCCAGATCCATGGGGACACTGTTCCCGTCCGGAATATTGACATGGGAATGCCGGATCCATGGGAACATTCCCGCCTGGAATATTGCCATGGGAATCTTGGATCCATGGGAACATTCCCACCCGGAATATTGCCATGGAATCCCAGATCCATGGGAACCTTCCCACCGGGAATATTGACATGGGAATGCCGGATCCATGGGAACGATCCCTACCGGAATATTGACATGGGAATCTCGGATTCATGGGGACACTGTTCCCACCGGGAATATTGACATGGGATCCCGGATCCATGGGAACGTTCCCACCCGGAATATTGCCATGGAATTCCAGATCCATGGGGACACCATTCCCACCGGGAATATTGACATGGGAATGCCAGATCCATGGGGACACCGTTCCCACCGGGAATTTTGCCATGGGATCCTTGCAGATCCCAATCCCGGGATCCCAAATCCATGGGAAGAGGAGACCCCATTCCCACCGGCAATATTTCCATGGAGATCCTTCTAGATTCCAATCCCAGGGTCTCGAAATCCATGGAAACGTTCCCGCCGGGAATATTGCCATGGAGATCCTTCTAGATCCCAAACCCGGGATCCCGAATCCATCCCTTTTCCATGATCCTGAATTCCGGGGGCCGGATCCCAGGATCTGCCTGATTCCCAATCCCAAGATCCCAAATTCCTGGGGCTGGATCCGGGGCTCCGTCTGATTCCCAAATTCCTGGGGCTGGATCCGGGGCTCCGTCTGATTCCCAAATTCCTGGGGCTGGATCCGGGGCTCCGGCTGATTCCCAATCCCAATATCCCGAATTCCCGGCGTTGATCCTGGTCCAATCCCCCATCCTGAATCCCAGAATTCCGGAGGCCCCAATCCCGGGGTCGGATCCTGGGGTTGGATCCCAATCCGATCCCCGGTACCGGAATTCCGGGAATTCCCGGGGCCGATCCCTGATCCCGGAATTCCGGGAATTCCCGGGGCCGATCCCTGATCCCGGAATTCCGGGAATTCCCGTCAGGCCGTACGGGCGGGAGGCGCCGCGGAGCCGCTACTGGAGCATCTACGAGGGAATCATGAGGAAGCACGGAGGGAGACCCCACTGGGCCAAGGTAGCCAAAAAAACGGGAATTAGCCCGGGAAAACGGGAATTATCCGGGGAAAACGGGAATTATCCGGGGAAAACGGGAATTATCCGGGGAAAACGGGAATTATCCCGGGAAAACGGGAATTATCCGGGGAAAACGGGAATTATCCCGGGAAAACGGGAATTATTCGGGGAAAACGGGAATTATCCCGGGAAAACGGGAATTATCCGGGGAACACGGGAATAATCCGGGGAAAACGGGAATTATCCGGGGAAAATGGGAATTATCCCCGGAAAACGGGAATTATCTGGGGAAAATGGGAATTATCCCGGGAAAACAGGAATTATCCGGGGAAAATGGGAATTAGCTGGGGAAAACGGGAATTATCTAGGAAAAAGGGAATTATCTGGGGAAAACAGGAATTATCTAGGAAAAATGGGAATCATCCCCGGGGAAAATGGGAATCAGCCCGGGAAAACGGGAATCCTGCAGGGAAAAATGGGAATTATCTAGGAAAAACGGGAATTATCTGGGGAAAACGGGAATTAGCTCCGGGAAAACGGGAATTATCCGGGAAAACGGGAATTATCCAGGGAAAATGGGAATTATCCGGGAAAACGGGAATTATCCCGGGAAAACGGGAATTATCCGGGGAAAATGGGAATCGTCCCGGGAAAATGGGAATTATCCGGGAAAACGGGAATTATCCCGGGAAAACGGGAATTATCCCCGGAAAACGGGAATTAGCCGGGGAAAACGGGAATTAGCCGGGGAAAACGGGAATTATCCCCGGGAAAACGGGAATTATCCCCGGGAAAACGGGAATTAGCCGGGGAAAACGGGAATTATCCCAGGAAAATGGGAATTATCCAGGGAAAAACAGGAATTATCCGGGAAAAATGGGAATTATCCAGGGAAAAATGGGAATTATCCAGGGAAAAATGGGAATTATCCAGGGAAAAATGGGAAATTTTTATGGCAAAATGGGAATTTTGCATGGGAAGATGGGGATTTTCCATGGAATTCTAAAAGGGAAAAATGGGATTTTTAATGGAAAAAAAAATGGATTTTTAATGGAAAAATTTGGGAATGGGGGGAAATGGGGGGAAATTGGGAATTTTTAATGAGGGAGAAATGGGAAAACATGGGATTTTTAATTTTTAAAAAATGGTGAAAAATGGGGGGAAATGGGAAAAATTGGGATTTTAAATGGGAAAAAATGGAAAAAATGGGATTTTTAATGGGAAAAATGGGATTTTTAATGGGAAAAATGGGATTTTTAATGGGGAAAAAAGGGATTTTTAATGGGAAGAAAAATGGGATTTTTAATGGAAAAATTGGGGGGAAATGGGAAGAAATGGGATTTTTAATGGGGAAAAAAATGGGATTTTTAATGGGGAAAAAAAAGGGATTTTTAATGGGAAGAAAAATGGGATTTTTAATGGGAATAAAATTGGGATTTTTAATGGGAAAAAAATTAGGATTTTTAATGGGAAATAATGGGATTTTTAATTGAAAAAATTGGGATTTTTAATGGGAAAAAATGGGATTTTTAATAGGGAAAAAATGGGATTTTTAATGGGGAAAAATGGGATTTTTAGTGGGAAAAAATGGGATTTTTAATGTGAAAAATTGGGATTTTTAATGGGAAAAAAATATGGGATTTTTAATGGGAAAATTGGGATTTCTAGTGGGGAAAAAGTGGGATTTCTAGTGGCATAAAAATGGGATTTTTAATGGGAAGAAAAATGGGATTTTTAATGGGAAAAAATTGGGATTTTTAATGGGAAAATTGGGATTTTTAATGGTAAAAAATGGGATTTTTAATGGTAAAAATTGGGATTTTTAATGGGAAAAAATTGGGATTTTTAATGGGATTTTTAATGGGAAAATTGGGATTTTTAATGGGAAAAAATTGGGATTTTTAATGGGATTTTTAATGGGAAATAATAGGATTTTTAATTGAAAAAATTGGGATTTTTAATGGGAAAAAATGGGATTTTTAATGGGGAAAAAATGGGATTTTTAATGGGGAAAAAATGGGATTTTTAATGGGGAAAAAATGGGATTTTTAATGGAAAAATTGGGCAGAAATGGGAAGAAATGGGATTTTTAATGGGAAAAAAAAGGATTTTTAATGGGAAAATTGGGATTTTTAGTGGGAAAAAATGGGATTTTTAATGGGAAATAATGGGATTTTTAATTGAAAAAATTGGGATTTTTAGTGGGAAAAAATGGGATTTTTAATGGGAAAAAAATATGGGATTTTTAATGGGAAAAAAATATGGGATTTTTAATGGGAAAATTGGGATTTCTAGTGGGGAAAAAATGGGATTTCTAGTGGCAAAAAAATGGGATTTTTAATGGGAAGAAAAATGGGATTTTTAATGGTAAAAAATGGGATTTTTAATGGGAAAATTGGGATTTTTAATGGGAAAAAATTGGGATTTTTAATGGGATTTTTAATGGGAAAATTGGGATTTTTAATGGGAAAAAATGGGATTTTTAATGGGGAAAAAATGGGATTTTTAATGGGGAAAAAATGGGATTTTTAATGGGATTTTTAATGGGAAAAAAATTGGAATTTTTAATGGGAAAATTGGGATTTTTAATGGGAAAAAATTGGGATTTTTAATGGGATTTTTAGTGATAAAATTGGGATTTTTAATGGGAAAATTGGGATTTTTAATGGGAAAATTGGGATTTTTAATGGGAAACTTGGGATTTTTAATGGGAAACTCGGGCGGAAGTTGGGATTTGAAGAGCGGGTGAACCCCGGGAATCATCGGGAATTTGGGGTGATTTTTGGGAATTCCGTCAGGCGCACAGCTGCGGGCGGCGCGAGCTGCGGGAAATGTTCCCGAATTTCGGATCCTTCTGCGCCCTGAGGCGGCGCCTCGACCCCGGCGGCACCTTCCTCAACGCCTACCTGGAGAGAGTCTTCTTTTAACCAAAACCGCGGGATTTCAACCCAAATCCCTGTCCCGGGAACACCCAGCTCTTCTTTTAACCAAAACCGCGGGATTTTAACCCAAATCCCCATCCTGGGAATTCCCTGCGCTCCTTTTAACCAAAAACACGGGATTTCAGCCCAAATCCCCGTCCTGGGAACACCCAGCTCTTCTTTTAACCAAAACCGCGGGATTTTAACCCAAATCCCTGTCCTGGGAATTCCCTGCGCTCCTTTTAACCAAAACCGCGGGATTTTAACCCAAATCCCTGTCCCGGGAACACCCAGCTCTTCTTTTAACCAAAACCGCGGGATTTTAACCCAAATCTCCATCCTGGGAACACCCAGCTCTTCTTTTAACCAAAACCGCGGGATTTTAACCCAAATCCCTGTCCTGGGAATTCCCAGCTCTTCTTTTAACCAAAACCGCGGGATTTTAACCCAAATCCCCAACCCGGGAACACCCAGCGCTGCTTTTAACCAAAAACACGGGATTTTAACCCAAATCCCCGTCCCGAGAACACCCAGCTCTTCTTTTAACCAA